AGGAAAGCACTATATTTTCAGGCTGACTGTAAAATAACTAAGAGCTCATTTCTTGTCGACCTCATAATATTTCACATATTTTAACAGATGTCAATCAACTTTGGTCTATTTACTTTCTCTTTTTGTGGTTTTACAAAGTCATGTCATTCTTTTTTTCAACACGTACCAGAAATATGAAACATTGAAGGCCCGGGTCACACCTTATAAAGGCTACATTTATGGTTAATGCAGACTTTTTACCTATTCCACTTCAAACGTTGTCTAGTTTTGGGGTCCCTTTTTTAAATCCTAGATCCGCATCTTAATTTGTTCGCTTATTCGTTCTTTGGTCTATGAATAGCTGTCTATACACTTACAATGAAACCACATCTCCTTAATTTTTGTATGATGGTCCCACAAAAAATGTCGAAAATATCTATATTTCATATTTTTCTAGCTTTTCTCATGCGATAACTATTTATGTGTTGCGTCCAAATATGAATTGCAACACTTAATAGTGACTGAACAGGTAAAACAAATACTTCTCGAGAAACAGAAAAAGTAGACAACTTGGAACAGTGCTAGCACCAGACTATTTATAAATAAATACGCGGATCGGAATAGTAAGGAAAGCTATCAATAATATTGCGGATAACGCAAATGTTTTAAGTTTATCGGATTTTTCGTATATTGTCAGTTCGAATTTTAACACAATCGTTCAAAAAGGCTCAACTTATTTTACTGAAACAATGAAAAGTGTTTCATACACCAAAAACGCGTGTGTTTATCCGCGATTTTATGAATGAAAGGAAAAGTAGATCCTTACGCGGTGCACTCAGGCATGTCAATTGCGAACTGACACAATAATTTTTTTTATCACGACCAGTCCAATGATACTGACATTATCAGCGAGTACACATCAAAGGAAAAATGCACAAATTATACCGATAAATACTAATACAATATAGACTAATTTTTTAATAATATATATGAAGACCGTTATTTGATAGATTTATTGGGTTTTTTTCGAAGAAAATTGCCATGTCATACCAACTCATTAGCATCTTGTTTCCGAATCTATTGAAATAAGGGTTCCGAATAGTTAAGTTGAAGACGCCTCTTCCCGAATTTTACGGACACCATCATGATTCGTTCGACCGTTATGGAATATCTGTGTCGCATATTACCACGGAGATATTCATAGCCACATTCCATACTCTTTTCCTCAATTATAAAGGCCAAATGCGACTAATCTTCGAGTGTACTTGTCATGGACATTTCGTCGGGTGACACTCGTAGAACAGGATATGCTTACATTTTGGAGTACCACATAGCAACCCCGCTTGCATGTTGGTGGAGTTCATGTTGCACAATCTTTAGTCTTCTTTTTATAGTTTTGTCGGGTTTTCTTCAACATATAGGCTTTGATTGTCCAATTTGTACGGTATGTCCCTTTTAATCTCACCTGACCAATAGGGCCAAGTGAACAATTCACATCATTTGACGTTGTCCGTTAACCTTTACTGGATTTTCTCCCTCTGAAACTACCAGACAAACCAAATAGTGGTTATTATCTTTCGTTTGGGTATTTAGTTTGTCCAATGATCCAGCCTCTCAACCCCATGGCCGTAAAGGGTAACAACATTATATAGGAATAAACTTCAAGAAGTGTCTATTATCTTGAAAATGTTAAAGATGACTGAAATAGGTCAGGACAAAAATGTTTAATATGTCAGGATCTATTTACGGTTCAAAATAGTCAGACGACTCCTTATTGAAGTAAATTACTAAGTAATGATTTTTATATATTTTATGATTTTGACTATTATCTTAAAACATTAGAGATAAAAGAACACTGTAATAGTATAAATGGTCAGCAGGAAATATTTTACAGATAAGTTATATGGTCAAATTAGTAAGTTGACTCCTTTTAGAATTTATTTCCCTTGAACGACATCTTTTATCCATGTTCTGTCTTATTGCGACAAGAAGAAAATAGGAAGTAACTTTAAAAAGCAAAAGTGATAGGCAGAACAAGGTCTACAAATAAGTCATTATGACCTAATCGTTATTTTGCTTCTTATAAAATTTTTGCATATGAATGACGACTTTTGTGTTTTAGCGGTAACAGCACTAAATAGAGCGAATTTTTAATTCACAAAAATATCAGTTAAAAAAGATTTATAAATAAGTGTGATGGCCGAAATCGATAGGAGTTATAGTCATTTAATGATAATTTATTTATTAATCTGGTTTGCAAAAAATCGGTACATTTCGCCTCTCTCTTAAGAGTAGCAAACATGACCATCAAAATATCATTTCGTCAATATGGCCAAAATCACTAGTCGATTCCTTATATGAGAAATCGCCCTTGACTGATGATTTTCCCTAAAATATTATCACCAACACAAGATCAACAAAAAATCTAAATCAAAGAATCACAAATCATGTCCATACCGGAGTTCTTGTCTAAACTAATTTTCTAAACTACAACCTCAGAATATTTAGTTCAATTTCTTTATTTGCACTTATACATCATTTACACTTCTTGTAGAGAAATTACGTGTTTTTACATTGACTTTATGTTTGTCAATTTGTATAATTGTACATTCCACTTCCTGTCTCAATTACCTGAAATAGAAAAAAGAAATATCAGAATATCCCACCTTTTACTCGGAAGTAAAACAGAATTATAAGAATATCCCATCTTTTACTCGGAAGTAAAAAAAACTATTAATTTTTGTCCAGATCAAATTATCAGCATCTATTCAATCAGCAATATAAACAGAACGACAGAATTATAGACTCCTTAGTCAACGGGCGGTATGGATAAACTCATAGATATCAAGCTTAAACTTTTGTACGCCAGACGCGTGTTTCGTCTCATCAGTGACGCTCGATTAAAAAAAGCTTAAAAGGCAAAATAAAGTACGCAGTTGAGGGCATTGAGGACCCAAAATTCATGTTTCAGATAAAGAAATAATGAGAGAGTGTCATAAACAAAACCGGCAGTGCAACCTTTGCCAAATTGTTGACGTGTTGCAAAAGTTATTTCATGCCATAATATTGAATCTTGTTTCTACTGAAAGGTACTTTTTCCTCTTTATTTCATAGAAAAAAATAGAGTTTAGTCATTGATTGAATTAAAAAGAAAGTGTTTCCTCTGGGTGGTAGCAGCTATCATTTGTTCGAAATCTAAAAATTGCTTGTCTGAACGTTCCGAACCCAATTATTCAAACTGTAATTCACTTAAGATCACATATTGCAAATATAGAACTAAAGAGTCCACATAGAATGAACTGAAAGACCGTAAAACTACCCCATATTATTGTATCATTTAAGCTTAAACTGAATAAAATGTAATTTATTATTTTGAATGACATTTAATTACACTTTTGATAATACTCATCTAGTAAAAATATTTGTTTTCAATAAGAATATTACATTATTAACATAATATTTCTGCTTAAGCACCTGATAGCACCCCGGTTTTTGGTAGGATTCTTATTGCTCATTCTTTTGTTTTCCGTGTTGTGTTCTCGACTGGTTTGTCTTTTCGTCTTTTTCAGTTTTTTGTCATGGTATTTTTGGTTTTTCATTGACATATATGTTTCTCTTTTTTGCATGCTATTGTATGTTTTCTTATAAATACCTTCAAATATAATGGTTGTCGAGTATAAAAATAAATATATTAAAGTAACACTTACTACCAACCACCACTGCCACCACTGCCACCACCGCCACCACTGCCACCACTGCCACCACCGCCACCACCGCCACCACTGTCATCACTGCCACACTGCGAATATGGTATCTTTCTACCTCTTCCGACAGTATAGAACACAGCTTTGCACTCGTCACAATAATTGTTACTATGAGAAGACATAATTAACAAAAGTTATACTGTTATTAGAAAACTGATAACAAAATTTAGAAAAAGTGACCACAATTCGTAAATAGGAAAGGGAAGATGTCTTAAAATTCGAAGAGAAGAAAGATTATGCAAACACTGCAAAAAAAAAATGAAGATGCAATTCATTTCCTTTTTATATTGTGATATTAACAGTAATATTAGAAAAGTTTTAATTTTGATTTTTTGATAAATGAGAACACATTTTATAGATTTAAATGATATAGATAAAATTACATATATCCTCAACCCAAGATCAAACATTCAGGTAAATAAGCTTGGATCCTTTTTAACAGTCTATAGAACTGACGACAGGGGACTCTTGAAATCTTTCTTTCATTATGTATATAAACGATCTTGTCAATATTGTTTATTTTTATTTTTGTTATGTTGTGTCACATGCTATAAATGTAAGAGTTATGGCAATAAATAGTTGAATTGAATTGTTATTCAGTTACAAGAAACTGTGATACGCATGGGTGATATCGGAAACTAATGTAATTTACCACAAATGGAAGTTTTGAACGACCTTGACTGGCTATACAGCCCTTGCACGGTACGACCTTGACTGGCTATACAGCCCTTGCACGGTCGGCAATGTAATTTACATACATAGTGACGAATTTAAATTGTATAAAATAAAATATGAAAACAACACGGTGTAGATTACATGCTTCCGAAGCGCTTATCTGAATTTACATTTGTACCTTCATCAGGAACGTTCGAAGTAGAATATTTGAAAGCCAAGAATGTTTAAGAACCGGAACAGTTGAAGAGCAATATGACCAAATAGGACATAAAAATAATAGCCAAATCCTGGACCATCTAGAGTAGACTTTGCCTGAGAAAGTTGACTTAGGTAATGTCAAAATTCAAACAGAAAATATGCTTTCTTTTCCGTGTTAACATTTGCGTTCAAGATCTGTATAAATTATCGTTATTTGTCACGGGACATTAAACAAGCAGCACTAAATCAATCAACATGCTAATTATTAACAAAAGGCTGAAGAAACAAAAATATATATATTTGTCCCCGTTACCCCGGTTTTGTAATTTGCTAATTTCATTTGTAAGTGTATGTAAATTTAAATAAACAAAAAAATTATCTTACCAGCAATGGGCGTTCGGATAGTTAGGACAACTTTCAATATCGCATCCTTTCGGGTGACATCCTGGGTAATATTCGCTCGGAGAACATTTAAAATCAGGGCATTTGAAATCTGAAACAATATGATTTGATCTAATAATGACGAAAATGAATGTGTACCGGCTGTGTTGCTAGGAAATTAGAATGTCGAAAACGTCAAAAAATGCAAGACAACTACATTGTACAAACCAGGATTGAAAATAACACATAGAAAATATGCATGAGCAAATCAACATTGAAAAAACAGATTTGTATGACAACAGTCCTTTCAAAAAATGAGCGAATGGTCAAATTTACTTCCTGTTTCAGTAAGAGTTTATTCAAGTGTCCTATTTGGGACCGCATATTAATAGTTTTCACTTATTAAAGTGGACGCATAAAAATCACCAGTTTGCTAAATAGGACTTGTATATGCACATACATTTAGTGTGGCGTCCATTTCGCTGAACTAGAATACATTATTGTTTAGGGGCCAGCTAAAACCCTTTTCCGGGTGCGAGATTTTCTCGCTGCGTTGAAAACCCATTGGTGGCCTAGGGCTGTTTTCTGCTCTTTGGTTGGGTTGATTTTTCGTATACACATTCCCAGTTTCCATTCTCAATTCTACATACTATACTTTATCTGTGCGGCTGGGTCATTTTTGCAATATTTTTTTTAACCTAGCTCCTATAGTTTTGTTTTAGATATAATCAAAAACTACAAAACAAAATATTAAAATCAACGTTTCAGGGGTAATAACTCCAAAAAGTGTTGTAAAATTTTCATAGTTGATAGATTTTTTTCATGCTTATCATTTACCCTAGCTCCTATAGTTTTCAAAATAACTCCCAAAAAATATGCGAAAAATTGAAAAAAACGTATATTTTAGGGGCAATCACTTCAAACAGGTGGACAGATTCTTCTCAAATTTACAGGGTTAATAGATCTTGTCATACCGATAATTATCGCAATTTAAACCTATCTACAAAAAATTTCACAATAACAGCGAACAACTGCAAAAAATTGATATTTTAGAGGCAATAACTTCATAACAGGTGGGCTGTTTTTTTCTCCAAATTTCTCATTTGTACATACATCTTGTGCTGATCCTTTTAGCAATTATACTTTAAACCTAGCTCATAAGTTTTCAAAATATCGACCAATAACTGTTAAAAATTGGAAACCAATCGATATTTCAGTGACAGGAACTCTAACACAAGTAATAGTTTTATTTCCAATTTTCAGGGTGGATACATCTTGTAAGGCTGATTATTTATTCCAAGAAACACTTTAAAACTACATGTAGTTCCTATTGTTTTTGAAACAATGGCACGGAAATGCCCCAAAAGTTGAAAATAAAATATTTCAGAGGCAATAACTCAGTCCAAAACATGTGGACAGATTATTTTTCCAAAATGTTCAGGTTAGATAGAACATAAGTTTCTAACAATTTTACACTTGTCAGTTTTTTTTTCTCTAATTGCTACAGTTTTAAATTAACCAGAACTGTAGTTTGACTCCATTTTCCTTTTTAGACACGGCAGCAATGTTGGTTGATCCACTTGGAAAAATCACAGACTTTATACTTTAAAGTAGTTGAAATCATATAGATGACGTAGACAAACTTTGGTTTTAATCCACTGAGCAGTTTCAGAGAAGATTTAAAAACAAAAAATGTCCTTTTTGAGAGAGAGAGAGAGAATAACAAGATCCTTACTAAATAAACAAGTTGTTCCTCTCTTTGTATCTATGATGAGTTTATTCGATTTTTTTTTATCTTTATTCATCACACTACATATCTATACATACTATACAATTATTACACATATCATAGATACAATATTATCACATTTTGAAGATAGTCCATACAATATTGCACACATGCATACTCTTACACATTACAGCATTATCACTTCGTTTTCTTTTTTTATTCTTTTTTAATCTTTGAATTAAAAAAAATGTATTAAAAAATTTCTAAAAAACAGATAATCTATCTTATTTATATTTCATAACATTGCTTTCAGTAACCACGGTTATTAAAACATGAAAACAATGTATGCGGATGATTATCCAATTCCGTCACATAATCAACTTTATTCCGACATTGTGAGTTATTAACTCAAAAACTTGAATTGACAGATCGTTCAAAATCTTTTTCTATATTTTCTGGCAATTTATGTTTATGTATATGTCTCGCTTTAACAGTTGGAATATACTTCTCAACACCTAAATCTGTCTACCTTTCAATGCAGTCGATATAAGACATATAACAGAGCAAAAGGATATTTGATGGTTCCATAACATGAATACCATTTTCCATTTATTTTCAAATTAGAATAAAAAAGAAAAAGGGAAGTAAATTGTTGATATGTTGTTTCGGGTGTTTAAAAAAGGATTTTAGCAGGACTTTAAAAGATATATACAAGTCGACCAATACAAGCATTTAGAAAACCTGAGCGTTCAATTAAAAATATTTTTGGTTTCTATTGTAGATTGATATTTATTACACATGAGTATATTGCCAGCTCGTCATGCACCCAAGTATTGATTGGACTGAATATTCCTGTACCAGTAGCATCTTTATCTTATTTGTGTCGGGGCCTCGGTGGCCAAGTGGTCTAAAGCTAAGTAGTTCTACTACTGTAATCACTTACCAGTCAACACTGAGGTTGTGAGTTCGAACCCCATCCGTGCGGGTGCACTCGAGTCCAATCTTAATTGACTACGATTGTCAGTTTTCCTATCGAAGGTCGGTGGTTTTCTTCGGGCACTCCGGCTTCCATCACCAATAATAACTGGCTGCCACGAAATACCTTAAAAGTGACGCTTGAAAGTGGCGTTAAAACACCAACAATCAATAATCAATCTTATAGGTGTCAGACCACCAATTCAAAATGTCTGTCTATTCAACCAAATTTTGCAATTTTCACAGCTTTCTAAATATTTTACCTTAAGTTAAACTTCATAAAAACCAGGTTTATCCTGAATTGTATATGTATCACCTTTATACATGCCTATTTTCAACCCATGTTTATTGTCTTCTAAGAAAAAATGTCCATCACAAAATAAGTACTACTAAAAATAACCCCTGGTTATCTGGAAATCTTAAATTAGTATACTATGGAGCGCATTGATCCTCATAGACAAGTAAATTTTTGCTCAGAATGTTCTAAATATATTTCTCTTTCACCAAAAGTTTCATTTCTGCAAATTTGTTGGTTAGTTTAAGTAAACAATGACGTCAAAAGCACTATTTTGTGTCAGAGTAGGGCTACTTTTACATACGTTCTAAATTGGAGGGAGTGAATTGGTGATCTGACACCTAAACATAACCAAGATGCAATGTTTAAAATATTTTAATTATCTGTTATATTTTACCTTCGCATCTATCACCAGTCCACCTCGGTCTACAGTGACATTTAAAAGTAACTGGTCCGATCTTAGTGCATTTTCCACCATGTTGACATGGGTTTGGATCACAAGGGCATGATATATAATCTGAAATAATATACTATACATCATTTTATACGAAATAGGCAAGTTGTAAATGGAGCGATACAAATGAAAAAGATGTTAGGTAACCCTTAATGAGATAACAGCACAAATACCCAAAAGACATATGAAGGTCTGTTACAGGACAACAGTCTAATATCCAATTTTCAGCAAAACTCCAGCTGTTTGCCCTTCATCCTTGTCGATCTACTGTTCAAAACATTCATCTTTGTGTTATGAACAAGCATCTAAAAAGAGATGTGTATCGAAAATGTCTCAAAGTGGCATTTTAGTTTGTCCAACAGAATCTTAACATTGCGGTCCACAAGCACACGTAAAGATACCTGCCCCTTTCTCGGTGCACGTTTCGCCGTTGTTGCATGGGTTTGGGTCACAAGGAGTTGGCACAGCATTTATTGAAATAATGTATGTTTTTGAAGAAGTTTGATTATTTTTTTGGTTGTCCATGGTGGAAGAAAATCATCGTATGCTTTTATTTGGATTGCAGACATAACTCCGTGCATATTACTAATTCAAAGGTGACCTGTGTCAAGGGGTCTAATAATCTATGTGTATTGGCATAAATGAAAATCGTAAAGAATTCAATTTGACTAGTAAAATTTTTATATTATATGCATAGGATATTACTTTATCTCTGATGTTAAGCTATGTGTTTTGTTTACTTAATGAGAGATCTCCTTTCAGTTTTTTACTTTTCAGAGGGAAATTCTTTTCTAGGTATAAGACAAATATTACGCATTTTCATGCTTATTTGGCGGCATTTTCCTTTGATCTATTGTTTTTTTCTCTTTGATCTTTACGATTTTTGCCAAATCTCACGCATTTGCTTTATTGAAAGTTGGCAGAACTGCAATGAAAAGATCAAATATATTCCAAAAACAGATATTGATGTGTTTTTTTTTCTTCTTCTCCCAAAATTACTATTAGTGTAGTTGTAACAAGCTTAGACGGTGACCTATTATTTGAAATATACACGCCACTTAAACTCTGGTGGATAGTTGTTTCATTGGCAAGCATATCATATCTCCTTTCTTCAATATTGGTGTACTATGTGTGTCGTCCTAAATATGCATAAAATTTTTGTAATATATTTGCCACTAAACATTTAACAATCATTAATAAATCAAATGACTTTGCAATATATTTGCCACTAAAATTAAACAATCATTAACCAATCAATCAATGATATGAACTGTCGATTTACAAATAGCAACACATCCGAATGTTGTGTATGTGCTTTGAAGTCAATTTACACACAGCAACACATCCTAATGTTGTGTATGTGCTTTGAAGTCAAATTACACATGCTCAATATCAATATAGACCGCGTTGAACGTTAGAAGAATTTCAACCTAAGAATTATATGCCCCCCCAATGGTGACTGGCAAATAGAAATATGGTCACTACGGGTCTTCTTCAAAAATAGGGCGTCCGTTTGGCTGTGTGGGATGTACAAGTACGCAGCCACGTCTGGTCAGAATGGGGACGTTAAATCCGATGCCTCGTGTAGAGAAAGTGCCACGCTCTCTGCACGTTAAGAACCCTTGTAACAACTCTTTGAGGGGTCCGTAGGTGGCCTGTTGCACGGCAACATTTCGGTCCATATCCAATATACGTTTTCCAGTGGCAGTTTAAATTTCCCCGTCCTACCTCCCAGACGGCCTATATTAAGGACCTACATATTGTATTTATTGTTAATTTGGTCTCGTCCTGAACATGCATGAAATATTTGCCACTGGACGTTAAGCAACCAACAATCAATCAATCAATTATATGACCCTACAACTGTATATATATATATAAGCAAGTCTAAATTGAAAACAACGTTCAAACCTATGATTGCGTTAGATAAAAACCGCAATTTTTATACGTGTACATGCAAAACAAATTTCTTGTTAGAGGGGTCTAAATACAGCACAAACAGCATTTTCCAAAAGACCAAAAAAGTGAAAAAGTATATTTTAACAAAACGCATTTGACAGGTCGAACAACAAATGTTCTTAAACCCTGCGGACTGCCATTGGCGATTGTTAAATAAACGGTTCACCGATGTAATAAATGGATCTTAATTAAAAATTTAATACTAAACAGAAAACAATAAACTTGCGGAAAAGATGATATACCGCAAACAAAAGGTGCAAAGGTTTTTGTACACCATATCCGGATTTCGACAATTAATGTCTCTTCAGTGATGTTAGGAATCGAAACGGTATTTGGAAAGCCATACAATTAACCTCAATTTAGGATAGACTCTTGAATATATATATATATACATAAGATAATAGATTCGTAAGTGTTTTCTCATACATCAGGAACAGGATTGTATTATCTCAGAAATGCTAAACTAATTTAAAAATACTTGTCTCTGTGGTGTTCCACTCTCCGTATTCTTGGACGAAACTGACACTTACTAAAATCGATATTTCACCTTCGTATTTTTCACTCTTACAAAACGGTATACTTTTATTGTTAGTAAAATGTTGCAAATATTCAAAAGGTTTTTCTACCCAAGGTAAAGATGACCATAGCCAGATTTAGCACAACTTTTTGAATTTTTTTATTGTTGATTTGGTTTTTTAATAGAAGTTGTGGTATGATTGCCAATGAGACAACTCTCAACAAGAGACCCAGTGACAAATAAGTACCTTCAAGCAGTTTTCATTCGAGCTTCACTGATGTAGACAAAGCTTGGTTTAATGGTACTAAATTGTAAGCCTGGTATCTTTTATGAGATTTGGTAGGTATATGCAAATCAATTTCCCTGCCCTTGTGTATCTTCTTTTTTTTATGCATGCTTATATGCATGTGTCTTCAGTTAATCATTTTACTTTACCTTGAATTCAAGCTTTCTTTATGACATAATACTTGACATTTACCTTCACATCTTGGACCATTGTATCCCTGGGAACATTCACAGCTGTATGTTGTCTGGCTCTTTGCGATACACTTTCCATGATTATAGCATGGGTCGGTATCACAAATGTCTGTTGAAACATCTACAAATATGAAAACAGGTAGATATATGATTGCCAATGAGACAACAATCCATTGGAGACTGGTAGACAAGGAAGTTATATAGGTAATCATAACGCCTTAAATGAACCATAACTTAACTTAAGTATATACTAAATGGGGTTTACAAAATAGAGAATAATGGGTCAATACTACATAAAAATTGGTAAAATAAATAAAATATATAGAAAAATAGGCCACACAAAGCAAACAATGGAGACAAATGTGGTGCTTAAATATAAAGAATAGAGAATAAAAAATAATGGGCAACCAATATATTAAATAGAGACAATGACATAGAAAATTAAGAATATAGAAATCCAGAAATTTCAGAATCTAATGCATTCTGGGTAATATTTTCAAAGCGTACACAAAGACGTCGTGATTGGTTAAAAACTTCCTAAACATTGGAAATTCAACCAATGAAGTGACGTTATTTTCATTTTGGGGTATGAACAATGGACCCGTAGTCCTTTAGATTCGGCATTTATTAGTAATTTATCGTTTTGTAAACTATGTTTTAACGTAAGGGAGCTACCATTTGATTTTTATAGGGGGGGGGGGGGGGGGGGGGGGGGGGGGGCTAGGATGAAAAATTTTGTCCTGCCTTTTTATTTTTCACTCTATTTGGTTCTGCCTTTTTTTTTAGTTTATCCTGACTTTTTTTTTTACATAAATTGTCATCCTGCCTTTTTTTGGCAAATAATCTCATCCTGCCTTTTTTTTTTACTCAAAACTCCTGTCCTGCCTATTTTTTTCAAATTTCATCCAAGCCCCCCCCCCCCCCCCCCCCCCATAAAAATCAAATGGTAGCTCCCTAACAAAAAGAATACGTAATCGAATTTGTTTTGTATCTGGTCTGTTCATATCTCAATGTTATACATTTTTGGCTGTGACAGATTAATAAGTAAGCAGGTACATGCAGTTAGTATGAGGTTGTCAACTCCAATGTATCGTGTAAATAGGGTGTCACACTCTCTGCACTTTAAAGTACACTTTAAACAATTCTAGGAGGGGTCCGTAGTGGCATGTTGAATGACAAAATTTATATCGATCATGCCCTCTTTTTTCACTGCCTTTCAGATTTCCAGCCCTTTAAAGGCGAAAAAAAGTCAAAAATACAGCAGAATCAAATTTCCAAAGTGTTCTTCACTATGCAATGTAGTTACACAGCTTATGCGTAAATTGTGCAGTCTAAAAATAGTTTTTAGTCCCCGAGGGTATCATCAGCTCAGTAGTTAGTACTTCGGTACTGACATGCTTTATAACAAACCTTTCTAAAATTGTCCGTTTATAAATTTTGAAATTTATAACAAACCTTCCTAAAATTTTCCGTTTATAAATTTTGAAATTTATAACAAACCTTCCTAAAATTGTCCGTTTACAAATTTTGAAATTATAAAGAAACTCAGGTTTCAACTCCCTCAGGCAAAGTTGACCTTCTATAGATTTGTCTATTTTAGCTACTTTTTTGGTCATATAGCTCTTCAACTGTTTCGGTTCTTATACATCCTCGGCTTTCAAATATTCGGCTTTGAGCGTTCTGATGAAGGTAAATCCAGAAAAGCGCTTCGGACGCATGAAATTATTTAACGTGTTGTTTTCATTTTTTCATAGCAATGAGATTGTCCTTGCCTTGAAATCAGTAATTTCATAGACAAAATGGCCACTTGACTTAAAACAATCTATAAAACTTAAAATGTCTATACTGTTTACATTTTCTGGTATATATAAATAACAGATAAAGTGACATAATGGCTGTTTTCCACTAATAAGTGGTTTCCAACCTTTCAATTATCAGTGTTTTGATGTCAGATAGTAAAAAGCTGAGGCCAAATTTTATTTGATAGTACAAAAGATTTAAATAAATAACCACAATGTTCTCCAGTGTAACCAAGCATACAATAGCATTTATATCCTTCAGAAGTTGCGCCGCAAAAACCGTTTACACAGGGGTTTGGGGACCTGCAGGGGTGGTTTTTGTCTACAATAACAATAAAAAAAGACTTGCAGCTTTTAGTGTCAAATAGTTTCTAAATCAACGCGTTATTAATGTTTCCAAATAAATGAAAAGAGATTCTACCACGCAAACCCATTAATAACGAGATTAATCCACTTGAAATAATTAAATTTTCAAACTTAAAAATTTCAAAATGTATCTATGCAAAGAGAAATATATTGTTGTTAGCGGGGTAGAGTTGTTGAATCTTTCTCTAATTATCTAAAGGGAAATGTCCTGTGCAATTTTCACAATAGATATGGCAGCAAAGACAAAGTACATATTTTCACTTCACATTTAAAGACACTTAGAGTGAACTGATTTATTTAAAAGAACCACACCAATAAGAAGATGAATGGTAGGTGGCTAGCATATACAAAGTATCTAATTATATAATATCGTAATATGTAATTCGATGTTAAATAAAGTTTAAAATACATACTGTATATACAAAGTATACAGTGTATATACAGTATGTATTTTAAACATTATTTAACATCGAATTACATATGACGATATTATATAATTAGATTTTGTTAAAATTATCTAGAAGTTGTATTATTATTATTTTATTTTTTTTGGAAAGGGGTGGATGGGGGCGGGGTTGTATACATATACATCTTACTTTTAAAAAAAAAATCTAATTAATAGTTAGAAATATTATACTTGAACTTACGATAGCATGTGGAGCCACTGTAACCAGTATCACAGACACAATAATAGTGGTCTCCAACGTCATAGCAGGTACCATGGTAACAAGGACTGGATTCACATGGTTTGGGTTTACTTAACCCTTCAAAAAACGAAAGAAATTTATATATTTACGTAAAGTATTAATAGTCTTGAGTCGCTTGGTACATGTACATAATTTTGTGGGGTCCAATCAATTTTACATGCATGCAAACCTCCAAACTTCACTATAAAGACCAAAAAGTCTACAGTCCAGCTACTATCAGCTGGTCACTCTTAAGCTTTTTATTGCGAACCAAATGAAAGTTTTCCACAGAGTCGTCTGCTCTTGACCAGGGTATTTAAACTTTTGTCTTTTCTCTTGTCCTATTGAATAAATACAATAGCTATTGTTCTCTGTGTAGCCCCAATGGTGACTGGGGAATAGAAGAATGGTCACCATTGGTCTTCCTCCGACCGGCAGTAAAACCCTTGCTAAAGTGGGGCGTCCGTTTGGCTGTGCGGGATGTACAAATTTGCAGCCACGTCCGGTCAGAATGGGGACGTTAAATCCGATGCCTCGTGTAAAGAGAGTGCTACGCTCTTTGCACGTTAAGAACCCTTACAACAACTCTTTGAGGGGTCCGTAGGGATCTGTTGCAAGGCTAAATTTCTGTCCCTATCCAATATACCCTCATTTCCCGTGGCAGTCTAAACTTCTCCGTCCTTAATCCCGGACGCCCCTCTTACAGAATCTACCTATTGTATTTATTGTTAATTTGTTTTCGTCATGAATATGCATGAAATATTTGCCACTGGACATTAGGCAACCAACAATCAATCAATCTGTGTAGTTTTTTACTTTTCAGAGGGAAATTCTTTTCTAGGTATAAAACAAATATTTCAACGAAAAGATCAAATATATTTAAAAAACAGATATTGATGCTTTTTTCTTCTTCTCTCAAAATTAATACTAGTGTAGTTGAAATAAGCTTAGACGGTGACCTATAATATACACGCCATTTAAACTCTGGTGGATAGTTGTTTCATTGGCAAGCATATCATACATGTATCTCCTTTCTTTAATATTGGTGTACTATGTGTGTCGTCCTAAATATGCATAAAATATTTGTAAAATATTTGCCACTAAACATTTAACAATCCTTAATAAATCAATGAATTTGCAATATATTTGCCACTAAAATTAAAAAATCATTCATCAATCAATCAATGATATGAACTGTCGATTTACAAATAGCAACACATCCCAATGTTGTGTATGTGCTTTGAGGTCAATTTACACACAGCAACACATCCCAATGTTTTGTCTGTGCTTTGAAGTCAATTTACACACAGCAACACATCCCAATGTTGTGTATGTGCTTTAAAGTCAATTTACACACAGCAACACATCCTAATGTTGTGTATGTGCTTTAAAATCAATTTACACACAGCAACACATCCCAATGTTGTGTATGTGCTTTGAAGTCAATTTACACACAGCAACACATCCCAATGTTGTGTTTGTGCTTTGAAGTCAATTTACACATGCTCAATATCAATATAGACCGCGTTGAACGTTAGAAGAATTTCAACCTAAGAATTATATGTTCCCCCAAGGGTGACTGGCAAATAGAAATATGGTCACTACGGATCTTCTTTCGACCGGCAGTAAAACCATTGCAAAAATAGGGCGTCCGTTTGGCTGTGTGGGATGTACAAGTATGCAGCCACGTCTGGTCAGAATGGGGACGTTAAATCCGATGCCTCGTGTAGAGAGAGTGCCACGCTCTCTGCACGTTAAGAACCTTGTAGCAACTCTTTAAGGGGTCCGTAGGTGGCCTGTTGCACGGCAAAATTTCGGTCCATATCCAATATACCCTCGTTTTCCAGTTGTAATTTAAATTTCCCCGTCCTACCTCCAAGACGGCCTATGAAAACAACATTCAAACCTATGATTGGGTTGGATAAAAACCGCACTTTTTTTACGTGTGCATGCAAAAACACAACATTAAAATGTAACACACACAGATACGAACTATAATATAACAATGGCCATTTTCCTGACTTGGTACAGGACATTTTAAGAAAAAAATGGTGGGTTGAACCTGGTTTTGTGGCATGCCAAACCTCCCACTTTTATGGCAACGTCAAACACAACACCAAAACAGCAACATCACATGACAGGACCACAATACAAATAAATGGGAGAACATATAGGACAAAGAAACACACGAATAATAGCTAGCAGAAGGTACTAGGCTTAAAATTCAATACGCAATGTTCAGTAGAGTTGTTGAATCTTTCTCTAATGATATAAAGGGACTGTCGTGTGCAATGTTCACAATAGATATGGCAGCAAAGAAAAAGTACATATTTTCACCTCACATTTAAAGACACTTAGAGTGAACTGATTTATTTAAAAGAACCACACCAATAAGAAGATGAATGGAAGGTAGCTAGCATGTTTCTAACGTGTACATTGTATATACAGTATGTATTTTAAACGTCATTTAACATCGAATTACATATTACGATATTATATAATTAGATTGTGTTAAAATAATCTAGAAGTTGTATTATTTTTTTTGGGGCGGGGGTTGTATACATATACATCTTACTTTTAAAAAAAAAATCTAATCAATAGTTAGAAATATTATACTTGAACTTACGATAGCATGTGGAGCCACTGTAACCAGTATCGCAGACACAATAAAAGTGGTCTCCAACGTCATAGCAGGTACCATGGTCACAAGGACTGGATTCACATGATTTGGGTTTACTTAACCCTTCAAAAAACGAAAGAAATTTATATATTTACGTAAAGTATAGAGAGTCTTGAGTCGCTTGGTACATGTACATAATTTGATGGGGTCCAATCAATTTTACATGCATGCAAACCTCCAAACTTCGTCCTGAATATGCATAAAATATTTGTAATATATTTGCCACTAAACATTTAACAATCCTTAATAAATCAATGACTTTGCAATATATTTGCCACTAAAATTAAACAATCATTAATCAATCAATCAATGATATGAACTGTGGATTTACAAAAAGCACACACATCCCAATGTTGTGTATGTGCTTTGAAGTCAATTTACACACAGCAACACATCCTAATGTTGTGTCTGTGCTTTGAAGTCAATTTACACACAGCAACACATCCCAATATTGTGTATGTGCTTTGAAGTCAATTTACACACAGCAACACATCATAATGTTGTGTATGTGCTTTAAAATCAATTTACACACAGCAACACATCCCAATGTTGTGTATGTGCTTTGAAGTCAATTTACACACAGCAACACATCCCAATGTTGTGTTTGTGCTTTGAAGTTAATTTACAGATGCTCAATAACAATATAGACCGCGTTGAACGTTAGAAGAATTTCAACCTAAGAATTACATGTCCCCCCAAGGGTGACTGGCAAAAAACAACATATGGTCACTACGGATCTTCTTCCGACCGGCAGTCAAACCCTTGCAAAAATAGGGCGTCCGTTTGGCTGTGTAGGATGTACAAGGATGCAGCCACGTCTGGTCAGAATGGGGACGTTAAATCCGATGCCTCGTGTAGAGAGAGTGCCACGCTCTCTGCACGTTAAGAACCCTTGTAGCAACTCTTTGAGAGGTCTGTAGGTGGCCTGTTGCACGGCAAAATTTCGGTCCATATCCAATATACCCTCGTTTTCCAGTGGTAGTTTAAATTTCTCCGTCCTACCTCCCAGACGGCCTATATTAAGGACCTACCTATTGTATTTATTGTTAATTTGGTCTCGTCCTGAATATGCATGAAATATTTGCCACTGGATGTAAAGCAATCAACAATCAATCAATCGATTATATGACCCTATAACTATATATATATACAACTCGTCTAAACATCAGCCCAACAATATTAGATCTGTAAATTTGCTTTCGCAATTTTTTTGTTCTTCCCTCGCCGGGATTCGAATTCAAGCTACTGAGATTTCGAGACACCAAATCGTCTGCACTGTATCCGACGCGCTAGACATATATATACAAGTTTAAATTGAAAACAACGTTCAAACCTATGATTGTGTTGGATAAAAACCGCAATTTTATACGTGTGCATGCACAACAAATTTCTTGGTAGAGGGGTCTAAATACAGCACAGACAACATTTTCCAAAAGACCAAATGAGTGAAAAAGTATATTTTAACAAAACGCATTTGACTAGCAGGTCGAACAACTGATGTTCTTAAACCCTGCTGACTGCCATAGGCGATTGCCAAATAAACGTATCACAAGATGTAACAAAATAGATCTTTTTATTTACTTATTATCAAACAGAATATATATAGAATATATATATATACATTAGATAATAGATTCGTTAGTGTTTTCTCATACATCAGGAACAGGATTGTATTATCTCAGAAATGCTAAACTAATTTAAAAATACTTGTCTCTGTGGTGTTCAACTCTCCGTAATCTTGGACGAAACTGACACTTACTAAAATCGATATTTCACCTTCGTATTTTTCTCTCATACAAAACGATCTACTTTTACTGTTAGTAAAATGTTGCAAATATTCAAAAGGTTTTTCTACCCAAGGTAAAGATGACCATAGACAGATTTAGCACAACTTTTTGAATTTTTTTGTTGTTGATTTGGTTTTTTTATAGAAAATTAAGAAGATGTGGTATGATTGCCAATGAGACAACTCTCAACAAGAGACCCAATGACAAATAAGTACCTTCAAGCTGTTTTCATTCGAGCTTCACTGATGTAGACAAAGCTTGGTTTGATGGTACTAAATTGTAAGCCTGGTATCTTTTATGAGATTTGGTAGGTATATGCAAATCAATTTCCCTGCCCTTGTGTATCTTTTTTTTTTTTTTTGCATGCTTATATGCATATGTCTTTCAGTTAATCATTTTACTTTACCTTGAATTCAAGCTTTCTTTATGACATAATACTTGACATTTACCTTCACATCTTGGACCATTGTATCCCTGAGAACATTCACAGCTGTATGTTGTCTGGCTCTTTGCGATACACTTTCCATGATTATAGCATGGGTCGGTATCACAAATGTCTGTTGAAACATCTACAAATATGAAAACAGGGAGATATATGATTGCCAGCCCAATGAGACAACAATCCATTGGAGACTGGTGGACAAGGAAGTGATATAGGTTATCATAACGCCTTAAATGAACCATAATTTAACTTAAGTATTTACTTAATGGGGTTTATAAAATAGAGAATAACAGTCGAGGCAAATAGGAAATTGCATAATATTATGAAATATCCTAATTTAACACATTATTATGAAACTTCATAATATTAGATAATCGGCTAATTTTGTAACTATATTATGGGATTTCGTAATTCATAAAATTATGGAAATACATAAGATAAGAAAAATTTTATAATTTTAAATATTTTTTTCGGTCGTTTTTTGGGCCCCGTGACTAATTTTGGGAAATTTCTAGAAAAAAAAAGTTATTTTTGAGTGGCGTTTTTACCAGGTCATAATTAACAACTGTCAGATTTTTATCGACACGCCTTAAATTCTCCCGACACCACCCTCTTTGTTTGTTGTAAATAATTTAACAAAGGGAGACAACTAGTATCGGTTTAAAATACAACTTGCGGTTATAGTTCTTTGATAAATCGATCTTTTTATTGCTAATCTAAGGTTGAAGATGTGTTTTTGTTATGTTTCTAATCTAATTTGTGATATGTGATTTACAGCTGCATATTTCATTTTCATTGTTGAAATCTTGAATTATCTAGTTTAAGACGTTTGAAATGAATATACTTGAAATAAATTTTAAAGGTTTATCTAAACAATTGTCTGTTGTCATATGCATGTTGAAACAATAAAATATCAAAACACCAAATAAAATATTATCTATCAAAGTTTATTTAATGCATAACGATGTATTTGTTAACTAAAATAATGTCAAATAACAAAATTATTTAACAACTAAAATCATATGTCTGATCTTAATTTTGTAAATAGCGATATTTTCTTTACCGCGTGTAGAAACTTTATATTTCTTTTAATTTTAGAATTATTTTTTAAATATTTTACAGTGTTCTTTTGTTGCTTAATGTACTATTAATTGGATCATGGAAGTATTATATTGTCAATAAACTACTTCCATGATCGGATAATTATGATAAGATTAAATCGTAAGATACGGCATTTAAGTGCATAACGATGTATCATGGTTTATTTTCATCACTGCTGTCAAGATATGTAGCGTGTACAACATGTAATAACAACTCATCTTGGTATGATTCAACAACAAAAGTTACTGTTTACAAAAGAAACGATTGTAGAAAATTTATGTTGTAAAAGGAGTATTTGTTTTAATAACACACATTTGTACATATTTTTAACGAAACAATTGCTATATTACGCACACGTTTTGATTTAAATGATTCATTAAGTTTTGAATTAAAAACTTTTTTATTGAATTTAAATTTTATGTTTTTTATTTAATTTGAAAGTGGTGTTTTGTAAATATCTGCATTTCCATGTCCGTCTGCATGTTTGTGATTTAGTTAAGAAAGAGAGCATAAAAATCAGACAAACTCATTATAATAAATATACATAAGAATAAAGGAATACTTGTATCACAATTATACACAAATTAAGAAATATTTTTGTATCAGAAAATTATATAAATATAACGTGAAAATTGATATTGAATAGAACAATTTTAATTGAAAGACTACGCTTTCGATAATTTTAATTTACAGGGAAGTGGCAAAGTAGGGAAGAGCAACAAAAAAGTTCATACAATTGCGAAACTCTCGAGTCAAGTAGACAAAACGATCTTTCGGCTTCAAAATGATTTACTTTGAAGAAGAAAAAAAAAATAGTGCTGTTTTACGAATTCGTTTATCGAATTTCAGTATATGATAAAGTTTCTTTAATTGAAAAAAATATGGGGATTTTGAACTTCAATCTAGTAAGGTGATTATTTAAGATGCTTGCGTAGAAAATTATTATAGACTACATAATTATGATAACAGGAAATCGTCATATTATACTTTTATTTCAATATGGTAGTTTGTAAAGATCTAACTAATCTTTCACAATGCTCAAACAAGCGCTTACTTTGGAAGTGTTTTTTTTTTCGGCGACATTAACAGGGACCCCAAAGGGTGACTGGGGGATAGAAGTATGGTCACGTAGTCTTCTTTCGACCGGCAGTAAAACGCTTGACAAAGTCCTTTTGGCTGTGCGGGATGTACGTATTTGCAGTCACATCCAGTCAGAATGGGGACGTTAAGTCTGATGCCTCATGTAAAGAGAGTGTAACGCTATCAGTAAGTTAAGAACCCTTAAAACAACTCTTTGAGGGGTCCGTAGGTGGCCTGTTGCAAGGCAAAATTTCTGTCCCTATCTAAAATACTCTCATTTTACAGTGCCAGTCCAAATTTCCCCGACCTTCCACCTGGATGGCCACTTATACAAGACCTGCCTATTGTATTTATTGTTAACTTGTTCTCGTCCTAAACATGCATTAAATATTTTTCACTGGACGTTAAGCAACGAAAAATCAATCAATCAATAATTACCAGTTTATATATATATATATATATATATATAAAGGTTTATTCTTATCCTCATTGTTATGCAATGATATGTGCATAACACTCGGCATTTTACTTTGCAGTAAGTACACAGGGTGGTTAATTTTAATACATGCACCTTTCTTTATTTACAACAGCTTATTCCCTTAAATCTAACATAAGAAATAGAAAGAAAAAATAATGTTTGCGTTATATCGCACAGGTTTGCCTTATTTCGCAAATGTTTGCGTTAGTTCGCAAAGGTTCGCATTATACGCAATTGTTTGTGTTATTTCGCAAAGGTTTGCATTATAACGCAAACATTAGGAGACATATAAGAAAACAAATGTATGGGACTTTTACGCTTCCGTAAAATAACGACAAAAACGAAGTTAAATCTTAAATGACATTGCCTGTTTATCTATTTTTATTCATGGGTAGATCAAAACATTTTTTTTAAGACTCATCGTTAAAGGCCATACGGTGACTGTTAGGTCTTATCCTCTACGTATTTTGGTCTATAGTGGACTGTTGTCTCATTAGCAGTCTTACAGCATTTTCGTTTTATAGTTATTATATGAATATCTTTCGACAAAACCGTATTAATATATAATAGATATCTACCCAGTATATAATACTGCTTCCTGTTTGTTTTCATTAGAAATACGAGATTGCAAGTGTCGTCCGTATCATACTTATTTATTATGACATTCTTCTATTGAGTATTTATACCTTGTTATGAATCCAGGAGTTTCGTACATATTGTGCCGAATGTAGGTTTATAATTTATTATAATTACTTACCATACACCACTAGATCGGTATAAACATTGTTTTACCTTTTTAGTTTAATGTTATTTCTATTTCTTTCGAATGTAAAATGGTAGAAAGAAAAACAGTTGATGAAACCCATTTGAATAACGTATACAGGATGTACAATGATATATTAAAATGTCTATAGAAGTTGGATCTTTGAACGTGTAGTTGCATATACATTGTACACAAAGATACTGTTAAATGAAATTAGATATCCTGCATTTATCATGCTTTTCAATTATATATGGTCGAATCGCAGAAAGATCCATCCTTTAAAGTATTGACAACTACAAATCTGCATTGACAATAATATATTGGTGTACATTAGATACACCCATTTGGACTAACGCCCTCAAGGTGTATATAAAACAAACAAGTATAAAAAAAGTAAAATCACAAAAATACTGAACTCCGAGGAAAATTCAATCGGAAAGTCCCTAATCACATGGCAAAATCAAATGACAAAACACATCAAACGAATGGACAACTGTCATATTCCTGACTTGGTACAGGCATTTTCAAATGTAGAAAATTAATGTCTACAGAAATGGAAATAATACATGTACATGTAACTGTGCGTGTTGCTTTTTGTTTCTTTATTCTACATTGGCTAGAGGTATAGGGGAAGGGTTGAGATCACACAAAACATGTTTAACCCGGCCGCATTTTTGCGCCTGTCCCAAGTCAGGAGCCTCTGGCCTTTGTTAGTCTAGTATGTTTTTTAATTTTAGTTCACTTATATGTTTTGGAGTTTAGTGTGACGTCCATTTTCACTGAACTAGCACACAATTTCAGTTAGGAGCCAGCTGAGGACCACCTCCGGGTGCGGGATTTTCTGCATTGAAGACCTATTGGTGGCCTTCGGCTGTTGTCTGCACTTTGGTCGGGTTGTTGTCTCTTTGACATATTCCCCATTTTCATTCTCATTTTTATATGTAACACATGGTTAGAAGATGTCAGAAATTATGTACAAATGATCCATCATAGCTTAATATTCGATGAAGTTGAAATTAAAATTGCGAAAAAAAAGACAGATGTCAAATGATAAGTTGAACAGTCACAATAGTCAGAAAAATAAAAATATAACTATGATGAATATAAACAATAATAAAATATTGATACAAACAATATTTTCTCTTAATTCAAAAACGATAAAATCCATATATCATGTGTTTATATTCTACATTATGAGTAAACAGGACATCTGAAAACATACCATATAGCTTTGATTTATCGAAATATACAAGATTGTGCATTATGTTTTTTAATACAAACTGGGAACCTGTCTACAATCTAAATTATGCAAGAAAAAAGAAGCATAACAAAAAAGCAGCGTATTTGTTAACGAATGATAATCTTCTGAATATACGACATTCTTCACAATCTATATTATAATCTAATCAGATTTGGGAGACACACTCCTGTAGAAAAACGTTCTGTATGATAAGCTTGCAATTATAGCATAATACTTAGCTACATTATTAGAAACAGATGTTTGCGATGATTATTAAAGGGACATTAGTTACTATTCTTATCGTTATGAAAGTGTTAAAACTTTGCTATTCAAAACTATTTACTTAATTAAAGATTAGAAGGGATATTGAGCAATAATTGGGAAAAAACACAGTATATCATCGATATAAAGTATTTGATATATCATTGTTATAATTTATTTATTGTGTACATGTATCGTTAATGA